ACAGTGTCTCAAGACCGAGACAAGACCAAAACTTTTAGGGTTTGGACCAAGTCAAGACCAAGACAACAGTGTCTCAAGACCGAGACAAGACCAAAACTTTTAGGGTTTGGACCAAGTCAAGACCAAGACAACAGTGTCTCAAGACCGAGACAAGACCAAAACTTTTAGGGTTTGGACCAAGTCAAGACCAAGACAACAGTGTCTCAAGACCGAGACAAGACCAAAACTTTTAGGGTTTGGACCAAGTCAAGACCAAGACAACAGTGTCTCAAGACCGAGACAAGACCAAGACTTTTAGGGTTTGGACCAAGTCGAGACCAAGACCAATGGAGGGCGAGTCTGAGACAAGACCAAGACTTTTAGGGTTTGGACCAAGTCGAGACCGAGACAAACTGAGCGCGAGACCGAGACAAGACCAAGACCAGATTAAAAAACGTGTTTCCTAAAAGACGGAGTTTTCTGTAGACATGTACAGTGGGGGGTATTYAGTCTTTCATAGTTGAGGTCTAACTATGATGTCAATCACAGACCTCTCTCATCTTTTTAAGTGGGAGAACTTGAACAATTGGTGCAGATTAAAAACTTTTTTCCCTCACTTTAGCTAACTTAATATGTAGAGCTAATATTGACAAAATGTTTGTTTGAGGGCAGAGGAAAGAATTTTGCTACAGAGACAGATTGTTAATGTTAGTGACGATAAAAGTTTAAAGTTGTCCCCATTGTCTCTGAAAGTGAARCACTGCCAAATTTACAAGTTGCTGTATGCTTTCTCCTGGTTGTTGTTGTTAATGATATTATTTATGAATAATGTAGCCAAATTTTTTACTTAAGATTTTGCAGACAACTTTTACCGCTCCCAGAGAACCACGGTTCACTTTCCGGGAGTGCTGCGTGCGAGTGATGGGGGGTGCAGATGGGTGACAGCCGCTAACAAAACTACATAAAAAGCAATAAGTCAGGTTTGGATTTGAATCARTAGCTACATTTTAAATCCAATGAAAGCAAGATTGTTATCAAATAAATTGGACAATAATCTGGCTGTTTAGTGATATTTCTGCAGTTCTGGTCTTGACTGGTCTTGAAATAAAATTCAGAGTCCTCAATGTCCGAGATCGAGACAAGACCAAGTACAAATGCTGTCGAGTCCGTGACAAGAACAAGACCATCAAAAAGTGGTCTTGAGACCAGTCTTAAGTCCAAGACCGGTTTCAAGTACTACAACACTRGTCTGTGGTGGACAGCACTGCCAGGAAATTTGATGCACTCCTACTCAGTGCATGAAACCGTTTTCACCACCTTGTGTGAAAAACATTCTCCACGGTTCTGYCTKATCRTCCACTCACTCTGAGCCCATTGGTGAAGAGTGTTTGTTTGGCACATTTGCCAAAAACAAAAAGAAACCCTACAACCGTTTAAACCTGACGTTAGTCCATGTTACTCCTAGGAAGTTGCACTCAGTGTCTTCAGAAGTTTTCACGTTGTTTCCTTCACAGGTTCTTGGTGCAATGCCACCACAGGTGAGGGATGAACAGGTTGCTCAAAGGGTTTGGTTTGTTTGTCACAGTGCAGTGTGAAAGCAAACATCACCAGCTGAAAATGTAACCGAGTATACCGGACTGTCCGATGTGAAAGCACCCTAAAGCTAACTTCCTGTTATGTTTTTTGCTGGACTGAAAATCAGTTAACATGACAACTAAAAAAAAAGTTTCAGAAAAAATTATGTTCCTCCCTCTCTTCTTTGTAGGAATAAACAACGACTAATGTGTGAGTAGGAAGATGTCTAGTTCAGTTTATCATCATCATCATGTTGAACATTATTACAACACCGAATGTTTATGCATACATGTCAATTTGTACTGATTGTCCGTAAGTTATAAGGATTTTATGTCATTTTGCAGGTATACGGACGTATAGAGCAATCTCACGGATTTTTTCAAGTCTTACGGATAATTTAAAAACCTCATTTTTAAATTTATCTAACATTTCAGAGCCTGTGGGATGATTTAAAAAACAATAAATAACATCAAACAGCCATCTTCCAACCTGTTCTGCTGCTAGAAATAAGTTACTTTTTCCGCTCTCCTTTCCTCCTGCTTTTCAGCAGGCACTTTCATGTCTGCAGCTTATATGATGTTTATGTCATCATATAAGCTGTACACACCATGTTTTATTTTTCTTTGTGAAACTGTTAGTCCCAACTTCTCTCTGGGTTCTCCATTTTCCTCMCACAGAYSRAAGAACATGCRTGTTAGGTTAATTGGTAAACTGTAGGTTGTTTTTCTCATTTGTCTCTGTATYCCTGTGATGGACTTGCAGCTGGTCCAGAGTTTAGAAGGGAAAAAAAGGGTTGAAAAACAACTACAAAGCACTTATTTTTTCCCCTCAGTTTGTCCACCTGTTCAGTTTGAGTCCATATTTATTGTAATTTTTCAAGCGCTTGGTTTTATTAAAATTAACATACTGGAATAATTTTTTTTCCAAATTGCTGTAATCCTGCTACAGACGAGGCTCATAAATTTGTGAGTGTGCACATCCCAGTCGCCTCTTTCGCACACGGCTCTCCAAAGGGAAGGTCGGCTGAGGTGGTTGTGTTAACGCTATGCTAGTGTTGTGAGGAGGGCTGGACAGTGAGGGGTCGGCAGGGGTCACCGTGGCTGTCCTCCGCTGTGATAGGCTGTCACCTGGCGGGTGAGGGGTCAAGGTAATTAGGCATGCAGAATCCCTGCGCCGCTGTTCTAATGAAGCCTGAGCTCGTTAATGCAGAGTTTTACACTCAGACCTGCCACTGAGCTTTGCTGCACCATCACACACTCACATGTGCAGCATATCTTTGCGCGCGCACACACACACACACACACACAACGAGGCACAGACCTCTGCTTTATTCTGCTGGTTCAATACAAAGGCTGTCATTTTTAGAGCAGCAGAGCACCAGGCTCAGACACAAGGGAATGGAGATGTTAGAGTCAAAGACAATTGTGCAATCTGTAATATAATAAAGTCTTAAAAGTATTGAATGTTCCAACAGAGTGTTGTTTACTTYCTTTTCTGTTGACTTTGTTCTTCATGCAAAGAGGTGGGGGGTCAATTGCAAAGCACCCAATCATGCGGTTGATTCAATTAAATAAAAAATATGCTTACATAACATAAACAGTCAGTTTTGGTTTGGAAAATGGATGCTGGTTGAATGAATCTCATACATGTTAAATACAAATATTTTACAGAATTCTATTCATTTAATTTAGAATTAAACAACTGTTTGTTCTCAGTTTACMTAATTCTGAAACACCTGTTGAATAAACCAACATATCTTTGGTTTTATCTGTTTATTTTTGTCAAGTATTTATCAGGTTGGCACAAGCAACACAAAGTATTTGTTGGTGCATTATGACTTATTTTGATCCATAGTGTAAAATTAAACAAATCTCACAATGCCTTACAAAAAAATATTCAAAAAATCAGACTTAATCCTCTAGGAAAAATGTTAGAATCAGCCAAAAATTATATGTTTCCGTACAGTTCAACAAGTTGTTTTTTAAGTGTAACTTTCTGAAAACAGAATGGTGAGCTGGGTTCTAAGTGGTTATTTGATTAGATTATTATATGATAATATAACAGTTTAGAAATATATTTACAGTCATTTCTTTAGACATGTTAAAAAATATGCAGAAAACACCCCACAAAAAAAAAGAAATGCTGTTTTTTAAATTAAAACATGTTTGAATAAAAAGGTCCAGACACAAATGCTGAGTTTTTACAGAATTTAATTTAAATATGTTGTTGTCTTTTTGGTTGTGTTTGAGTGAAAACACACTTTTTTTTCTGTCAGCTTGTTKCTTCTGCCATGGCCGGCCACCAAAACACAGTCTGGATGTCTTGATTTGATAATCTGCTCGTATCTATGAAAAATAAAGTTTCACGCCACCTGGTTCTGTTTAAAATGCACAAAGTCATCAGAGTTTGCAGGTTTTGTTACGTAAAAGAGTTCAGAAATCCGCTGCACAACAAAGACCTCAAATCCAACAGCTTCATCCTCATGGAAAGTTGGTTATTATTAAACACTTGAGTCTGTTGCCAGCATTATAAAAGCAGCCATACAGTCAACCTCAAGGTTTTAACCAACTTATTTTTTTAAGAAACGTGGGAAGAAAGGGATTTTTTTAGTTGAATGAAATGTAAGCGCACAATTGACAGTGAAGGTGAATTTGCACAAGTCTAAAAGTCAAAATGAAGACTTTCTCAAACACAAACTTCCTCATGGTGACATTTTTAAATCAGGTTTGTCAAGGTGTGTTCTATTGCTTTTCTTCTTACGATCGTTTCAAAGCAGCAGCGAYGGATTTAAGAACAAAAACCAAAGTTCTTCCTTATTTCTGCATCTAAATTCCACAAGGAAATACAACGATTTTTGGTACCTGGAACACTATGAAATATTCATTTCTCTATATCTGTGTTTGAGACTGGCTTGAGCTCATAATCTAGAGGGACGCGGCGCTCGTTTCTTGCTCCGTTGTTCAACCGATAACTCCAAATGTGCCCTTTGACGTTTTTGTCTCAACAGATTTTTCCTCAAGTTTTTCCTCAAGTGCAACCAGAACTGCTTAAAGAAYGCGGGAAACCCACGAGACATGAGACGGTTCCAGGTAGAGGCGCCACATATAGTTTTATTTTTTCACTTTACTTTTCTGTGTTCCTCCTCTTCACAGCCTTAACTATGCATCAGATGTTTCCTCTCCCCTTTTGTTTACTGCAGACACAACACTTAATTATATACATTACAGTTACTCTATAGTTGTCTCAACACATAAACACGGGAATATATGTTTTGTGTGTGAGTAATTAAGCAATCATGAAGTGGGAGAACAATCTTAAACAAAGCAAGAAAGAAAGAAATTTAAGGCGGCCCAGTCATTATTATTTCTCTTTGCGGCTGCAACACAATCAGGAAGACACCACTTGAGGCTGAGTGGATGTACTGAACGCCCTGGAGATACTGATAGATTTATTACCGTGACGCRTGTGTGAAAGTGTGTGTGTGTGTGTGTGGATTCTGCATGTGAGGGGAGGGGAGAGACAGGACAGGCAGAGTCACACTGTAGCAAGTGTGTGACCAAATCTGAGTCTCTAATTGCGCAGCTCTATTGTAGTGGAACCAGAAGAAGACAGCTCTGTTTCCCTGGGAGATAATTAAGGGCTGGACCTATCAGAAACACACACACACACACACAGCCTATAGTCACAGTAGTGTGTGTTAGGAGTGATGGTAATAGCAGTGATAACTGGCTACATTTAAAAAGCTTTTCACAGTTTAATGCTTTAAAGTCATTTCTGCGATGATCTTTTCACCCCTGCTGTTTTACTTCCTTATTTTTTCTTCCTCCTCTTCTTTTGCTCACACTTGGCTTTTTTTTTGTTTCATCCCTCTTTCCCCTCTGGTCCCTCTCATCATATAACCCATTTCTGTGCCTCGTCTCGCCCCCCTTGTCTCTCCAGGTGGTCGTATCGACTACGGTGAGCGTGGAGGGACACGTCCTGGCCGTTTCGGACAACATGTTCGTCCACAACAACTCCAAACATGGTCGACGGGCCCGCAGGCTCGACCCTGTGGAAGGAACGCAGTCTTACCTTGAGCATGGTAACACCAGTGTGTGTACGTGTGTGTGTTTGTGTGTGAGAGAGAGAGAGAGAGAGAGAAAGAGAAAGCAGGAGGCCCACCAGATGGTTGATAGTTTAATCCTATCAGGTGATTCCTGCCCCTCCATCTGGCTAATCCAACTTACTACACACACAGATCATGGTGTGATGCTGTGTGTGTGCGGTGGGTCTAATATCGTTATACTTCCTCTCAGAAACAAACCCAGACTGAGGGGCGGTGTTGTAATTCAGCTGAATGCTGATGATCACACACTTACATTACAGCCAGTGCTGCTTTTTTGACAGACAGGCAGATTTTTGTTGTTATCCTGTGGGATTGGATCAARTGAGCTTAAACTCATGATTGTCTGTATTAAAGTGACATAAGCCGACTGTGTCCGTTTGTTTAAAGTGATGAACCATCTGGGTGTGTTTTTATCTCATATCAATAAAACCTCAGGATGTACAGATTTATATTTCAACATGTTCATATTAAAGTTTTTATTATAATTATAAAATTAAAATTGTATCCCATCTTATAATCCGTCATTTAGATGCTTAAAATTATTTCATTAGTGTACAAAATTGCATTTTTACACAAAGAAATTCTTATTTTGTTGGATAAAATTCTGCTTTTATTATATATTCCTATTTATTTATTCTTTTGTGTAATGTTTGCGTCAAAGTGTTACTGCATCAACAAGGAATGTTACACTGCAAAAAAATGTCCACCTTTTTTTCCATTTCAGTGATTTCATGGTGTGCACAATGGTAGATTTTGATGATGCACAGTATAAATGTAAAAAGAAAAGGTTATGTCATATGCAGAATGAGTCCTACAATAGAAATCAACATTTTTATTAGATCAGATTCTCTTTTATAAAGTAAAAAAMCCATTTGGCACAGTTTTGGGTACCTTTGGCTAAATTGTGCCAAAATRCCATTTCCGCCTGGCACACTGCTCACTAAAACCTTTGTGAAATGAATATACTTCAACTTATTCACTCCTACTTTGCTACAATTTTTCTCAAGATGTAGATGTATCAAATCTAAGTTCATTCCTGGGTTTTCACGAGAGTTTTCATTGTGTTTTGCACTGTTGATTTGAAAAAAATTAAGGCGAGGCTAAAAAAATTACTAATTTTCTTTATTAAATCGCAAATAACTCAGGCACAGTAAGAGTTACAATTGTGGTTTCACTTAATAAATTATCTTTAAGATCTTACTTTTACAGAGGKACCAAGAGTATTAGATMTTATAACTGTGGAGCTATTCTGGATTTATTTTGCTGTGTATTTTCAGGYRGAAATTTCTCACRTGTTGAAYTATTTGTGCATTTTTTTATTATGATGAAATTACTACAAAGCAGGTTTTGCTCCTCTAACCAGACATCACTTGTTTAAATTTATTTAAGTATCAGTAACATATTGAGTGAAATTTCAAATACCAAAGGTAAAAGAATTGTGGTTTTTATTCCTCAGCTGATTATTTTAAATCCATGTCGTTTGACTCGTTTCTYTTTTCTGTAATTTCCCCTCCAGGAGCAGCTCCCTGCATTAAAGCAATCAGTCCCAGTGAGGGGTGGACCACGGGGGGCGCCACAGTCATCATCATAGGAGACAACTTCTTTGACGGCCTTCAGGTTATCTTCGGTACCATGCTGGTTTGGAGCGAGGTCAGTCATGGTTGTGTCTCATTGGTTCAGACCCTTCACTGTGTGCCTCGGCCCGCGGACCGTTGGAAGTAATTCGATATGAAAACATACTTTTCCTCATGGTCTGGCTCTTAACTGTGTGTGATCGTGCGCATGTGTGTGTGTGTTAATGTTTGTCTAAATGATGTTTACCTCCCTAATGAGTCCCCCACCAACTGGCGACCACCTCCCCTCTCTGCCTTCCTCCACACTCCCTCCTCCTCTTTTACTTCAAATCCTGATCAGATCAGCACATTTTGATAGCCATCGGCTGAACGCACACACACACACACACACACACACACACACACACAGAGCTCACTATCAGAGTTTTCCCCACTCCTCTACAGAATGTTTATTTGTCTTCTGACTCCACTCACCGTGTGTGCTGAGCGACCGTGGCTTCCTTCCAACAGCAACAGAGGTGCTGTGTGTTTGTGTGTGTTGGTGCGTTGGTGTGTGCGTGTGTATTAAGAGCGGAGGGGTTTGTTTACAGTGTTGAGAGCCGCACTTACACACACTAACATGTGTACAGAGTCTCAGTTCGAACTGACTCAGCTCTCTCGGCTTCAGATGGACTTTTGCCAGCCAAATGTTTCATTTGCTCAACCTGATTATTGATTCTGAAGGCAGAAATCCCAGTTTGAAGCCGTCACTGGAACCAGACTGAGCTTTTTTGGCATTTCCTTTTGTCTGCACCTCAGATCCCTGCCTACCTGCAGTATTTAGGGTGTRTGGACTAAATACTCACAATTATTTTCATTTTTAAAGCACAATAATACAGGATGTGACACCTCACATTGTTTTATTATATTTCTATTCACTTTGAGTAGTTATTATGTTAAAGAGTGAGTTTTTTAGCAATTCTTCAGAGTTGTAAAGTAACTAAGTACAAATACTTTGTTACTGTACTTAAGTAGAATTTTTGGTTATCTGTACTTTACTTGAGTAATTATTCTTCAGCGTACTTTTTACTTTTACTCATTACATTGTTACACAATTATCTGTACTTTCTACTCAGTACATTTTTTAAAAAGGTAAGAAGTAGAAAGTCGTTACTCCTATTTTATTCTGAGTTATTACTTAAAAAATATTTGTGTCTCCTGGAAAGAGAGAATTTAATTGAGGTTGTATGAGAAGTATAAATATATACCATTCTGACACACTATTAGCTTGTACACAACCCATCACAGCTGCACGCTGTTAGAAAATATATTTTTTGGAGAAGTCACCTCCCAATAAATGTCATTTTGTAAAATCTAACTGCTCACTTTTACTCAGTACTTTTACTTTTGTATTAAAAGTAAAAGTACTGAGTAAA